CCCAGCTCTCTTTTAGCAGGAGTAAAGGCCATCCCACACCAAGAGTCTTCCCAAATATTAAGACCTAACTGAGGATAAGAAGCTCGATGCAGACATTTATGTCTGGGATAATCAACATCTGAAATCTTGAGATGCTGGACTAGGGAGACAGCTCAGTGGGTAAAGTGTTTGCAGTGCAAACATGAGAACTTGAGTTCAGATCTCTAGCACCCATGTAAAAAAATGGGCTTGGTGGAACACGTCTGTGACTCCAGCAATGGAAAGTAGAGACAGGAAGATCCGGAACTCACTGGCTGTTGGTCTAGCCAAAGCAGTGTTCAGTTTCATGAGAGACTGTTTCAGGAAATAAAGTAGAAAGTGGTTGAGGACGGTACTTGATGTTATCTTCTGTCCTCACCTTGTGTTCCGGTGTTCATGTGTGTCTGTGTGTACACACTCTCGCACACGCACACAGATGTAGGAAAAGAAAACTGTCCCGCTAGCAAGAAGATCTTCAACAATGTCAGCAACAATAATTAGATTAAAAAACAAGTAAATGAACAAACCCACAGAAGGTATTCTGAAAGTTCTTCACAGGGCCGCTTAGGAGCTGCAGGCACACGTTTTGAATTTTCTGTGGCTTTATTTTTAGGGAGTCCTGGAAGCAGAAGTATTCTATTGAGATCTAATGCTGGGCTGAGAAAATCCCATTTCAAAAGGGAATAGTTAGCTAAAAGGAGGGGCTTTATCTGGTCAGCTTTGGGTAGCCAGCTCTGAAGTATGAGTAATGGACATCCTAGAAGCAACCAGAGAATTTAGTGTGACTCAGCAACTTGGACAGGTCACTGGGTGTGAAGGGCATAGCTGTCCAAGCAACAACTCAAGGAGTTCTAGAATCCTGAGTGACCCCCCTTTCCCAGTGGCCTTCAATGGCTCCTATACAACATGGTCCAGATCTGGGCTCTTGCTGCCAAGTAGGAAGATGAGACACTGCAAATGTATCCTGGACAAAGGCTTCCTTCCTGAATCATGGAAAGTTATTTGAACCAACCAGTACAGCACTATAATGTCTCAGTCCAGCACATCTGGCTGGCCAGGGTCCCAGCCCAGGAAGTCACCTCTCTCCCTGGGACTATACCCACTCAGGGAAGGGCTTAGGAGTAGTGGTGGAGAGGATGGGACACTGAGGGACACTGAGCAAATCATGCTGGGACCATAGGAAGTATGTCCTCTGCACAAGCAGGCTCTTGACTCAACGCCTCCCACCCTGCAGGATGTCAGCAAATATTTAACAAACCAGAGAATAAATGACAGATGAGGATCTCTGCTGCTGTCCACGTCACAGCTCTGTACAGACAACTACCTGGACTCCCTGCCTTGGCCCTGCCACCCCTGGGTGTCTTCTACCCCATCCTGGATGCTGGAAACACTAGTAGCCTCTTCCAGATGGTTACTGTATGGCAGTTTTTCTCCGATTACCTCAACTTAGCTACTCTCCACCCCAATCCACGCTGTCTCTCCTGTCCCCACCACATCTTACCCATTGTCCTGTCCTCTCAGAGCCTTTTCTACAGGCCCCAAAGACTTGAGCATCTCTTGAGAGCCCACTTACATGGTATTGATTTGGTTTAGATCTACATGGTGCTGAGTACCAGGACTGGTCCTTCATGCATTCTGCTACATAGAAGAGTATAGGGTACATTGATGATGTTACGTGCATGGTGTGGTGTGGTCATTTGAATAGGAATGGCTCCCATAGACTCGTGTGTATGAATGCTTATTTCATAGGAGTGGCACTATTAGGAGGTAGGGCTTTGTTGGAGGAAGTATGTCACTGTTGGGGTGAGTTTTGAGGTCTCTTATGCTCAAGCTATGTGTAGTGTGACGCACAGTCTCCTTTAAATCAAGATGCAGAACTCTTGGTTCTGCACCTCCAGCACCATGTCTTCCTGCATGCTGTCATACTTCCCAACAAGATGATAATGGACTAAACCTCTTGAAACTGTAAGCCAGGACCAATGAAATGTTTTACTTCATAAGAGTTACAGTGGTCATGGTATCTCTTCGCAGCAATAAAACCCTAATTAAGACAGGTATATAAGATACTAGCTACAAAAAGAATCAGAAGTTTTTTGAAGGAGTATCAAGTAGTTGTTTAACACAAGTCTATCCTCCCCAGTCTGTACCATATCAGTGTGTTACCTTATATGACAAAAGGGACTGTGTAGACATGATTACATTAGATCTTGAGGTGGGGAGATGTAAAGATGGAGACTTGGGTGGGCCTAATATAGTCACATAAGTACTTGTAATGGAGACAGAAGGGGCAGAATCAGACGACAGAAGCAGAGGTCAGACAACATGGACAGACAGACAACTGCTGCATTGGAACTCCTTGAAGGAGGAGAGACCAAGAGTCAAGAGCACAGGCAACCTCTGAATGCTGGAAAAGTCGGCAAGACAACACTCTCTCTGAGAATCCTTGGATGTGCTATGCCATGCTAGCACTCAGATCTGAGGACTCTAATCTACAGAACTGTAAGCTGTGACTTGTCCTGTCCTGGGCCACTAAGGCTGTGGACACAGGGAATACACATAGTCTTTAATCAAAAATCCAGGCAGTCCCACTAATATGGGGGGAAAGGGCCATGTTGTACTGCAAGGGGAGGTAGGAATTCCAAGAAGCCATGGCCACAGCTGGAGGCCTTCCATGTCCCCTCTCTTCTGAGGATATTCTTTTATGATCTGTGTTGGGAAAGGTCTGGTGGGGGGTACATTAAAACTCAGGGAGTCACTGCCTGAGGTAGATTCCCAGACCTGGCCTATCTGATTTCCTCAGTGAACCACTCCTGGTGACTCCACTGCACCTGTGCCAAGACCTTTCCAGCCACCATTGAGAAGGTGGCTAGGAGAGAGAAGCTAAGTGTGGGTGGGGGGCTCCTTAGGGATGCACCCAAAAGTGGGCAGATTATAAAACTTGCCAGGTTTCAGCTCCAGCCACCATGATGTGGAACATCCAAGAAGGCTGATGCTCTTGCTTTTGAGAAGCTCACTTGTCAATCAGACTTGCTTCTGCAAATGTAGTGTGCACCCATCGCAGTCTCTGCCCATGCCCCTCCCTGCTCCCCGGCCCACCCCTTGCATATATGCATGTGATATCAGAGGTCAACATTGGCTGTCTTCCTCTGTCACTTCTTTCCCTTATTTTTGAGACAGGTTCTCTCATGTGTAGGGGCTTGGTGATGGGGTAGGCTGGCTAAGGAAACTCTAGGGATCCTCTGTCTCTATGTCCACAGGATAGGGACGATAGTCTTGTGATGCCATGTAAGCTTTTCCCATATATGTTTGTGTGTGAGTGTGTGTGTGTGTATGTGTATGAGTATATATGTGTAGGTATACATGTAAATATATATCAGGACTCAAGTCTGCTTGGTCAGCACTTTACTGGCTGAGCCATCTCCCAACCCCATTGTTCTCAATCTCTGTCTGTTTGTCTCTCCCTCCTTTTTAATTTCCGCTTGATAAATACCTGCCTTGGTCACCATGACAGCCAGAAGAGTTACATAGCACAGTGGCTTGGGGAACACTGTGCTGTTCCATCTGAGCTCATTCTGGTGCTGGGGCCAGGTCTCATAGCACAGCTGGGCACTGAAAAGCTCTGAGGACTGAGTGCATTGGCCAAGGACAGCTCCCATAAAGGGAGCTGCAGAACAGCCACTGGAACTTTGGATGAGAGCTTCCTGTCTGTAGAAGGGCTGGCAGTGGAGGTCCCTTAGAGATGACTGAGGCCTGCTGTAGTAGCCCCTGTCCTAAAGTGACCTTGCATGGCTAAAAGGTGTTCGAGATCCATTCAGAATCCTGTGGCCATTTGATACTGGTATAATGAGTGTCTTTCTAGTCCTTGTCACTGTAACAGTGGTACCTTGCTTTTGTCTTAATGATCTCATGGGTGTCAAGTAAGAGGGCCAGCCAGCACTAAGCCTCTAAAGAGGAAGCATGAAGGACAAGGAGTCTCAGGGCTCTTTGTTCTACATTTCCTGGTACATCCACTTATGGGAGCTACGATGTCCATCGTCTTCCTTCTTCTTCCTCAGAAAGCTCCAAGTGAGGGAGAATCTTTGCTGGGCATTGAGGACTCTCCAGGTCTGGGTGCTATACCCACATGGCAGTTAAAACCAGGCTTCTGTGTTTAGGCATCATTTTCTACCTTGATTGATTCCCCTATCCCTTTGGAAACCAGAACTTTGCAGAAAGTCTCTGGTTTTTCCAGGAGCTGGCTCAGCCCTAAGTCTGAGTCTGGCTGACCATAGTGGCCTTGCTGGCACCGGGGCCTCTGGCCAGGTCTGAGGTCATCTCCCAGCCTTAAATAAGGCCTCAGCCAAGTACAGTGGAAAGAAAGAACTGCAATACACTCAGAAAACATTCCCAGTGGGATTCCCAGCCAGGATCCTGAGAGCTGTAAATGGAGCAGATCCAGAATGGTTTCCAGGTAATGGGGCCCTCCCTAGAGTGATAAGATCTCCTAGTAATAATGTCCCTGCGGTAGTGAGGCTTCCGGAGTTGGGTGAGGACCCTGGATAGTGAGATTCCCCCAGGTAGTGAGGCCTGGGGGTCTGGGAGACTCTGCAGCAGTGAGACTCCAGTGTCTAGGCTGCCTTAAGAGACCCTGGAGCTAACTTCAGAGTGGAGCCCTGGAAGAGACATACATGAAGGGGTCCTCCCACCCCCGCTAAGCTTTAATCTATTATTATTATTATTTTTAGAACCTTAGTGAGACTTTGGATTAAGGCCTCATTTGCTCATGGGAGTTACACCTAGATGCTGGATCATAGTGACCAGGTGACTGAGCTTAAATCTTAGCCATGCTTCCTGTAGAAGCAGACCTCCTGTCTCAGAGTTTGAGCTTCTTTGCAGAACAGAATGGTCATACATGAATGGATTCCCCAAGGGGCAAAGACAGACTCATGTACATAAAGCATACTTCTCTAGTGTCCCTCACAGAACTGGGAGAGGCCACGTACCTGGTCCCCAGAGCGTGACGCACTGCTGCTCATGGGTCTGGCAGATGCCGTTGTAGCAGTAACCATCCACTCCCTGACACGGGTGCCCATCATGTAGGTACACATTGGCTGGGCAGTGAGGGGCAGTTCCTGTGCAGAATTCTGGGAGGTCACAGGAGTTGCTGGAGCCCCTGCATGCAGTTCCTGGAGGCTTCAGCTGAAATGACAAGGTGGCTTATAGCACATGTACCAAGTAGAAAGAAGCATCCATCGGTAGCTCTTCCAGGGCAGAGTGTAGCAGGTTACCTACTACAGTCACAACAAGCAGGTGGGGATTTCAAAGCCATCCCCTCTGATGATAGAGAGCTCTTTTTTAAAAATGGTTTTGCATGGTTTACATTTGTGTTATGAGGCTTTGTGAGCAACCAAGGATAGCTCATGTGGGAACAACAGGTAACACTAGGGTTCTCCAAGGAGTAGACAAGATGGCTCTTGTTGAACCTCATGTTGAAGAGGTGAACTTTCCTCAGGTTACCAACACCATCACATGCTTTATGTTGACACTTGTCCTTATCCTTAGGCATTTGCTAGGGAGGTCGCAAAAGCAGCAAGATCAGAATCCCAATAGCAGTGGTAAGCTGTTAACCCATTAAAGAACTGGGGCCCTGTCTTGACTTTGTGGGGAAATCTGGAGTGGTGGGGGCTGGCAAGGTGGGGGAGAATGAGGATCAGGAAGTGGCATCAGCAGTGGGAGTGGCCACTAGTGAGGTCTGTTAGCATCTCACCTTTTATTTATTTATTTATTTTTTTGGTTTTTCGAGACAGGGTTTCTTTGTGTAGTTCTGGCTATCCTGGAACTCACTCTGTAGACCAGGCTGGCCTTGAACTCAGAAATCCACCTGCCTCTGCCTCCCAAGTGCTGGGATTAAAGGCGTGCGCCACCACTGCCCGGCCGCATCTCATCTTTTGCGGTTGGAGAAATTAAGGTTCAGGGTGGCTTGTCTGAGCGACATAATCAAGGCCACTGAGTCCCCAGGTTTGCTTGGCCTGCATATTCCCAAGGGCTACAAGGTAGATTCACTTGCCAGCTCCTGGAAGGTCTGAAGCATGGAAGAGATTGTTTGAAAGCTACAAAAGTGGATGGTAGTGGGGCATCAGCACACATCCCTTCCTCCTTGTGATGTCTTGAGTGTAGGCTCAGCCGCTATTACCTTCCCTCATCCCCTTCCTGGCACTCTCCTGCACTATAACTGGGAACCTGGGGGTGCTAACTTCTTACAACAGTCTCCAGAACTAAGTGAACATTGGGAGAGGCCAAATGCATATCATTATAACACACTTCTAAATGATGTGCTTGGGTGGGGCGGGTAACAGGGAGTTTCCTGCAATCATTGTGCCAAAATCCGTTGCTTAAGTATCAAGGCATAAAAGTCTATCCCGGGAGCCACTAATGCTCAGGCCTCTTCCCTGTTAGACGTGCCTTCTGAATAAACAGGCTCAATGGTGAGAATGTCTATGCAAGAACAGTCACAGCAACAGAAACGGCAAGGCGGGAAACCGCCACTCTGGCACTCAGGGTGGCCTGCACTTTCTGTTGGTACAGACATCCTAGGAACCATCAGCCTAGAATCTCTGCTACCTGCCAGATGCCAGACGTTGGTGTTAGGCAGGTAAACCTGGCATGAGGCTGAATGACAGGGGAAGGGCCAGGTTCTCCTCCTGTTGTTCTCCTCAAGGAGCTAGGACCCTCATTAACATAAATGGCACATTAAGGTTGAGCTTGGGTTTCTCAGTCCTATTAGTTTTTAGCCCACAGACAATTTATCACAGAAAATTAGCAATTAAAATGTGCATTTTTACCAGATCAGATGATTAACAGAACAGCTAGATGCTGCTGACCAGTGAAAGGGCAGCTTCTCAGGATGAGATGAACTTGGGGAGCCAATCCACCCTACTGCTTTGCTTGCATCCTACCGGAGCCACCCAGACCAGTTGGCAACCTCAGGGTAAGCTGAACTCACCTGACAGTCTTCACAGCACTGCCCGTGCGCACACACAGCATCTGGCTTCAGAGTACAGGTGGTAGCATTACAGCAGCGATTGGTACATTCCTAAGGAGGGGGAATAGGATCCATCTGAAGGGCCATATGAAGTGGTGGCTCTCAGAATGCAAATGACAGCAAAGGAAAAGGCTGCCCAGATCCTGAGCTGAAAACCTATCCCAGAACTGTTTTCCTTGGCATAAGAGCAAAATGTCTGTTAAGTGTTTGTGAACCACCAGGACTGGTGTTACCAGGAGCACCAAGTACCCTTCTCAGGAAGAGGCCTGGGGAAGCTCGGAGCTCTTCAGAACAGCAGCACATTGGGGTTTCCAGGGGATTCTTCCTGCAGGGCGTGTTGTAATGAGCTGTGTCAGAATCATTGAAGGACTTGGAAATTGCTCATTTAAAAACACATGCGTAGATGTGACCTTCAAGAATGAACCCTTCTGATAGGGATGGGGTACAGCACTTGCCTGGAATATTTGTTTAAAAATGGGGGTGGTGGTCTGCTTTTGATTTGGAGTATGCAGATGAACTGAGGAAAAATTCTGGCTAGGTTCCTGTGGTCTAGCCAGGTGGGTGAGGATGAAGCAAGCCCTTGTTTAGCAGAGGTAGGTGTTTGGCCTAGGGCATTCTGGGAAGAGGACCGGATGTCAGAATGAGACTGAAGGATGTTGGGTCTAAGAGTTCTTATTTTATTTTCTTTTTACTCCTCTCTTCCTCCTTCTCCCCTCCTTCTGTTCCTTCTTTATCTCTCTTCATTTTTCTCTCTCCTTTCCTTTTTTCCTTTCTCTTACACTACTTATCAAACCCAAGGACTCATGGATGGAAGGCAAGCACGCTTTAAATTTGGCTGTATCATCAGCCTTCTTTCTTGTTTTTGGAACAAGGTCTTTTTATGTGGCCCTGGCTGGCATGGCACTGCCTTTGTAGAGAGGCTGGCCCCTAACCTGTGGTAGGCAACTCTACGGCTTCTGCATCCTTGGTGCCGGGATTATAGGCTTAGGCCACCATACCTGGTTTGCACATGCCTGTCTTAGGGTATCTAGATAGATAAAAAATGAGCCGTATCATGTTCTCTTAAACCAAGACAGGAAGAAGTTAACCTCCTTTAGTAGCTCCTGCACCATGGGAGCACATGGCTTTCTGGCAAAGAGAGATGTGGATCGGTACTCTCTGCCTGCTTTAGCAGAAGGCCTATAGCATTTTGTGTAGTGAATCTCTGAAGTCCATGAGCTTTAGAGCATCCTGATAGCTTGGAATCTGTGCCATTTAGGAGAAAATGTCACAGAATGCTCAGTGCTGCCCATGTCTTCAACCTTCTATGTTTGATGTGCTCTGAAGAACTTCTACTAACCGGGCAACATGAAGCTAACCACACCCATGTCTAATAGTATAATAGGTTAGTCCTCAAAACTATCTCTTGTGAATGAATTTATTAGTATCATAGATACAATTACTAAATTAGCCAGTGATTAGGACAATTTAAGGCATCCCTAGATACCTGACCGGCATCCCATGTGGAGCTCCATGAGCTGGTCTGTCAAGCAGTGTTTATGTTTGCTCCTACCATGCATACTGCCAAAGTTGTTAAATTTTAAATCTGTTTGAGGACTTTATAAACATCCGGGACATGTAATGTATACAATAAGATAAAACTGCCAACCAGAAGTCACTGCGGCAGCTTTCATGACAGTGAGGGGTTTTAGCTTATGGGGTTACAACTCTATACAAGTTTAGAAACTTTTTTTCCCTTAAGGATCTCATTAATTGCATCCTGGACCAGTGCCATGGAATGTGCAGGAGCCTTGTTCTGCTCGCTATGGTCTCAGTGACTTCCTTAACATTGTATTAGCTGAGTCAGAGATTTCCTTGCTTTACTGAGTTAAAACAGCCATCTGATATCTGTGGCTGAAATACTTGTAAAGCCTCCTCCTGTCTGCCTTCAAATCACTAGAAATGTAAGCAGCAGCTCTAAAGGAAATGTATCCAAGTGGAAAGACTTCAAAGGGGATCAATCACATGAAAGAAACAAGGAAGTTTAAAGTCCTCAATGGGACAGTGTGTGTTCTCAGCCTTGTTGGTTGGAAGGGTGAGTTATCAGGACATCCTTCATGGCTTCTATCAGAAGGTGGCAACAAATTTTAACTACCCCAATCTACTTTTTCTATATTACCATATTTCTCAGAAAGAGACAGATTCCTTTTTTACTAGTGTTTGCTATTTTAGTAGTCTGCAGAGAAGCAGCAGAGCCAGTGAGTGCCATGTCTCCCAATCAGAAAGAACGATGAAGCCATTATAGAAACTCATGCAAGGACCAAACGGTTATTCCTGGGCTGTGGGGAGCAGATGGGGAACCTTCATCATCATGAGCTGGGGTAAAGTTACAGTATATTTTCCTAGAAACAATGGGCCTTACTTCTGGGAGAGAGGGAACACAGGCTTGTTCCAGCTGTGTGCTGGTGTACACTGCTCTGACCTGTCATTCCCTTGCTTCCCTGGTGTGTCAAGTCCCTCCTTGGACCAGAGGATGCATGGTTTGGTGTGGTTAATAGCAGGAGGAGTGTCTACAGGGCCTGAGCACAGGGGACCAGAAGAAAGAACCTAAGTAATAGGTTTGCCTAAAAGTCTTGGGCAAAGAAGTTTGGTGTCCTTGTAAGCTTGAACTGGCAACTTGACACAGCTTGGAGTCATCTTAGAAGGGAGTGTCAATCAAGGGGCTTTCGGGCATGTCTATGGGGGATTGTCTTGACTGTTAATTGACTTAGGATGGGCTGCCTCACTGTGGACAGTGCCAGTCCCTGGGCAGATGGTTCTGGGCTGAAAAAGAAAATTGTCTGGGCATGGCCCAAGAGTCAGGCCTCCTTCTTGGCTTCTGCTTCAAGCTCTTGCCTGACTTTCCTCAGTGATAGTTTGTGACCTGGAAATGGAAGCCAAGGGAATGCTTCCTCCCTTGGGTTCCTTTTGGTCAGAGTGCTTTCTAATAGCAACTAAACAAAACTAGGACCCATGGCTAAGCACAGATGACATCTGAACCTAGACAGGAAGCATAAAGAGTCCACTAAAATAACACTACCACGAGAGGCAGAAGGTTCACTGTGATGTTAACAGGATTCTTGGGAGGAAGAGCTTTAGAGGAGGGAGAGGAGGTTTTCTTAAAATAACAAGAAACCTCTAATGGGACATGAGGACCCTAACCACAGAAGTACCAAATCGGGAACTACATGCAAGCAGAATTTGGCTCCATTTAATAAGGAGTTTGTCACAATCAACACAGTGTAGGGAGGTCCCCGGAGAGAGATCAAGGGCTCAGCCATGGCTGTAGGATTCCTTTGTGGAGATGATGGAGGAACAGCAGAACAGAGTAGTTACAATAGGAACTTGAGGATCTGCTGAGAAGCTGGTGCTGGTGGTGACGGGAGTACTGGTGATGGTGGTGTGCTGCTGGTGGTAAGGATGCTGAGGATGTTGGTGATGACGGTCAGGATGTAGGTGGTGGTAGAGACACCGGTGTGGCAGAGGTAGTGAGGGTGTTGGTGATTTGGGTATGTTGGGGGCAGTGACAGAAGCTGTGGAGATGGCAGCTGATGATGGGGATAGCAGTGAGAGGATGATGATGATGATGATGTAGGGGGCAGTGGTGACAGCTGTGGACACAGTGGCAGTAGCACATGGTATTGGAGGCAGATGGGGTGAATGGCTGCCGATGGAGTCATTCCAAATCTCAGCATTCACGATTCCATGAAGAACCATCAGATTTATCCACATTAATAAATAATTATAAGGCACTCAGATCAAAGACAAACTGTCTTAAGTCAACATGGCCTCTCCTGAGAAATGTGGGTAATTTAAACTAATTGGGTTGTTTCTTTAAGCAATTAACAAGGCCTCCAAGGGACTTTTCTCCTTTGCACACGCTATCCCATGATGGCTTCACTTTTCCCTCTGCTAATCCCGAAACCATTCTGTAACGTTCTGTAATTAGGACTTGCTCCTAGCCAGAAATCACTCCCTGCTCACTGTGAGCAAAATTAACCACTGTTTCGGATGGTGTGGACAAGGTCATTATCACAGATAAGCTCTGAGTTTGTCAAGGACACAAAACTACCTCTATCTCCCTTCATGTCGTCTGATCACCCACCAGCCCCATATGCTACACATTTTCTCTCAGTTCTTGTGAGAATAAGAACATTCCTGCTGGCATGGAGCCTTCTCAGGGACCTGGAGACAGGCTAACATGAAGATTCTATTTTTCCTGGGATGAGCATGGAATAGCTGAGATGCTCTGGCTTCCTCTCCCAGCTTTGTTTCTTGGGGCTCCCCTTCCAAAGGAGCCCTCTGAGAAGCTGGCTTCCTGAGCTCTTGTTAAGCCCACATGTGGAGCCTACCTCAAAGCTGTCTCCCACTCTGGCTTGTGTAGGTTCTCATGGAAGGAGTACCACACTACCTGCTCTACAAACCCTTGGCTTTGGCTTACTCTGAATACAATCTTCTCTGAGCTGTGTGGGCTATGTGTTATGCTGAGAGGTAGCAGTTCTCTTTGTTGTCCTTTCTCAAGACTATTTAGAGAGTGAATAGAAACTTACATGTTTCATGTTGACCAGCTTCCTCGTGGACCTATACAATTAAGGAACTTCCCAGAGAATGGCTGGAAAGCAGGGCTTAATAGGCCTGGGGCAGGATGTAAACTCTAACTGCTTTTTTCTTGATGCTTCTGAGAACTGACAAGTTGAATAGCCAGAGCCTCTGGAGCCTCAGCTGTGCATGCAGAGAAGACTTCAGAACAATCTCAGCCGGAGAGAAAGCTCAGCTCAGCACTGCTTAGCCATACTCCCCGTTCACAGCAGGTTTTGCAAAGAAAAAGGTATGATACTTACAGGCTCATAGAAGCTAGCTCCCAGGGCTTTGCTTTCCAAGAGACTCTGACTGAGATAAATGCCTTTTTTTCTCATCCTCACCTCACTAAGAATGAGGCATCCTTCAATTGAGAAGGCACTCACCCATTAAAGCCAAGTGATTCTGCCAACTCTGTACCTGGCCAACATTCCGAAAAACTACCAACTATGGGGCACTTTTTAAAGGTGGCCATATGGGAGTTTTCCAGAGAATCTCTATTATACCAATATCCTCAGTACTAGCTCATCCTCCCTCTCTTTTTCTCTCCAGTGTGTGTGTGTGTGTGTGTGTGTGTGTGTGTGTGTGTGTGTGTGTGTGTGTGTGGTTTGTGTGTAAGTCAAAGGTCAACTTCAGGTGTTATTCCTTAGGTTCTGTCCTTTTTGTTTTGGAATGAGGTCTTTTACTGAGGCCTCTAGGGCTCACCAGTTAGATGAGGCTCAAGGGCTAGTGTGTTTTGGAGATCTGCTTCTCTCTGTCAACCTCCAGTGCTGGGACTCAGGCCCACACCATCACACTCAGCGTTTCCATGTAAGTTGCATGGCAAGCCCTTTAACAAGTGAGCCATCTCTTCTCCGTCCCATCACCAGTTTTTAGCATGTTCATTTTGCTGCCTGAACTCATCTACGCTCCTCCATCCTCACAGTCAGAGGCAATGCAGGCACCATAGAGGGAGTCCCCTTACCTCTGGTTCTCCGCAGTCACACTCTTCTCCCTCTTCCACATAGCCATTTCCACACTTCCGGCCCCCAAAGGCCTGCTTGACCTCTGGTAGGTTGAAGAGGCACATCCCCATCCCCTTCTCCAGGCTAGCCTCCAGGTCCTTCCTGCTACAGCTGCTGAACACCATGGGGAATGGGAACCTGAAAAGAAAAGGCTCCAGTGAGTCACACAGGCACAGTGGCCATCCCTGCCTTCAGGTGCTATGACCTAGGACCCCTGTGCAGTAGTATACAGCTGTCCACAGCTATTTCAATGGACAGGATTTGCTTAACCATGGTCAAATGAAGCACTGTCTGATAGTCCCAACATTCATTCCCAAAGTGTTTTCTTTTTGTTTTTTTGACAGTTTCACATCAATAGCTTTAGACAGTCATATTACATTGCTATTAATAGTTCTTCAGGGAGGTAATAGTTACTTTTTGATTGCTGTGATAAAACACTATGACCAAGACAACCTATAAAGGAAATCATTTAATTGGGCTAGGGTTTCAGAAGGTCAGAGTCCATGATGGTGGAGTGAAGGTGTGGTAGGAGGAACAGCTGAGAACTCACAGATGCATTCACAAGGAGGGAGAGGGAAGGGGAAGGGGGAGGGGAGGAGAAGAGAAGAAGGAGAGGAAATGGGACAGGGAGAGAGAGACAGAGACAGACTGGGAATGACAAGAGTATTTTGAAACCTCAAAGCCTGCCTCCAGTGACATACCTCTTCCAAACAAGCCCATAGCTTCTAATCCTTCCCAAACAGTTGTACCAACTGAGGACCAAGTATGCCAACTTATAAGCCTATTAAGGCCAATCTCAATCAAACCACCACAGAGGTGATGCTGTAGGAAATGAAGTTTTAGGGCCTAGAACTTATAACAAAGACACATAGTAATGTCTTTATTGGTACGTATAAAGAGGAAAATGTTATGTATGATAGTACATATTGGCTCCATATGTCCAGGGGACATATGGTCTGTTCCACTATAGATCAGGTTGATATTGACATTCAGGCTTATGAAGATAGAGCCATGGTCTTTCACTGGACATGGCTCTAAGCAAATGGAAGTAGTCCAGAAACATAGGTCTTGGTCTTGGTCTTGTCTATAAATTCCAAGGCTACAATGGAGTCAGCCACACAGTACTGGTCCCTTTCTAGTTGACTAGAGGAGCTGCTCAGACCCTGGGTACCTGAGTGGACCTTGTGAGTAATTCTTGGCAGTGGGCTGTGAACAGGAGTGATGTTGTGTCTGTGGTACAGAACTGACTATTCATCCCCTAAGTCTTTCTTTCCCTTTTTCTCAAATGACCAGGAACTGGAGGAGCCTGATGTGGTATCTGGTTCTGACTCCCAGACAGAGAAAAACCTAGATCCTCTAAGTGGCCTTTGATGGAAGCACATTTCTTCAGAGCTACGGAGAACTGAAGACATTTTCTAGAGCAGCCAGTGTTATGGGTATAGTTTAGTGGGTCGGCATCATGACTTTAAACAAACACTAAACATTAGGCTGAATAAATCTTTTTTTCTTTTATACTATGCACCAGCAACATTCTGTGACAGCAACAGAAACAGACTAATATAGTTATTCCAACACAAAGTATACCATTCTCTCTTAAAGATGCATTTTCAAATCTCTTGAGGCATTCAAGATGATGAGGACCGGCTTGCTAGAAAGCAGGTTTTATGACTTATTGAGGAAGTAAGCCTATTGTCCAGCAGGCCCAGGCATGCCTCCCTATGGAGACATCTACAGGATGACATTACAATTGGATTTCAATCAACTGGCCAAGTCAACAAAGCAGCTACATCTTCCTAAATACGGCAGAGAAACTGCCACATCATGACTGAATTTGGGCAAGTTTTGAGTCCTGAGGGTTCATGCAGCCAAGCTGATGACACCATTCATTCCTCTGTACCAACCCCCACCCCCCACCGCCTTCTTTTACTTTCAGGTTAATTGGAGTAATTCAAACCACAACTAAACAAATGAAAGTGAATCCTACTCTCCCAGACAGGACGATGGTAAGTTGAGACTGAGGAACAGGGCTGTAACAAAGTTCCCTTTGAAATCTTTGTATGTTTCCTTGGCAGATAGATTATTGCTGGTATCAAAATAATGCAGAAAAGCACCCATGAACAACAGACTGTAACATTTTCAATTTAGAAAGGCATGGTGTGGAAGTGTGGGGCGGTGGGCTGTGAGAAGCAGCTGGGTGCCTGGTCAAGCATAGGCCTTGAACCCCAGACCCTAATCAGACGGCAGGTGTTTGGCTCTGCTCCTGGCTCCTGGTTCCTTACACTCAGCTTCAGCACTCCACAGCCCCTCCCACAGAGAGGTCTATGGCCATCAGTCACAAGGAACAGTGCCTCAGGCTCTCCCACATGTAGATGAGGTATCTCCAAGCTCTCAGACCAAGCCAATAGGTGTTATCTGCTGCCAGATCCTGACCCACCCAAAAACTGTATAAAAGAGCTCTATTTGGGAAAAGTAAAGGTGTGCAAGAATCATCCCGTTGTCCAAGAGTTTCTGTTGCAAGAGCTGTAACACTTGGGAAGAGATCTGCTCTCCTGAAGTGTCTTTAGGACCCTCTCCTCCTTGCCAGCTAGCTGTCTTCTTACCAGCCCAGCCCAGGCCAGCTCATCGCAGAGAGACAGATGCAGCACATGGGAGTGACTGGGCAGTGACAGTGGAGACTTGGGCAGAGGCAGCAGCGGAGGCAATCTCCCCTCCCTGCTTGCACTCTGTCCCCTTGGTCCTGATCATCACATGGCCAGAGATCGTAGTGGGACGCCCTCTGGAACAGGGACCCACATGGAAGAGATCAGTACATTACTCAAGGTGCATTTGCAAGGTGGTCCTATGCAAAGGAGGCAGCTTGGCTGAGGACTAGGGTGGGTCTTCTCTTTTGTTTGAGAGCACCCCTCTGTGAGGACCTTGGGGTCTGAAGTTCATTCTCAGACATACACAGCTAGGTGCTGTGGTAGCAGGCTGTGTCCAGCTCCCTCCAGAAGAGGCCAGTATCTGGAGAGTGCCCAGGTTATTTAGAAAAGACTCCAGGATAAGTTGATGGAAAGGTTTGGCAATGGGGAGGTGGCTCAGTCAAGTGCTCATAATGCAAGTGTGAGGACCTCAGGTCAGATCCCCGGAACCCACATTCAGCAGTAGTGTGTGTCTATCATCCCAGCACTCTTGTGATAAGAAGGGAGGCAGAGACAAGAGAAGCCATAGGAGCCTATGGATCAGGTAGCCTGATATACTCAATAGAAAGCAAGTGGTCTGTTTCAAACAAGGTGGCAGGTGAGGACAAGTTCTCAAGGTTGTCCTCTGACATGACTGCATCTATGCCTTAGGGTGCCTCTGTTAGAACTGCAAAACAGCACTGTCCTCCTGAGATACCAGATAAGGTTTTGGCAAAGATGCTGACCCTGAGGGTTGGTCACACACATCACAGAGCTGTCCTTTACTCCAAAGCCTAGGCATGCTGGCTTTTATAGTCTTGCTTGATAAAACTCCCAGAGACAACTGGGCATAGTCCTCAGCTCTTCCCCCTCCAACCTGGGTCTTCTTGGCCTTTTCTAGTACTCATAGCCCCTCCCTTAGATAAATTTTTCTTATCTTTGGTACTGGGGTGGTATCCAGGGCCTCAGGCTTACCAGGCAAGTGCTCTAACCCCAAGCCACTTGATAGATGGCCCCATACCACTCTTGCCCAATAGCTCTTCGGATAACAAACAGGGATGGGGATGAGGGACATTTTTTGCCTCTAGACAATTTTTCCTGATTCATCTCTTTGTGATTTCTGACAGAGGAGACCACCAACTCTTTCATTCTGATGGACTATTCTTGAACCTTCTTTGGGAATTTAGAAGAAGAAAAGCAATGTGACTAGCCCTTCATCATGCTGTGATTCAGAAAATATTCTACACAGACAAGGTATCAGACTTGCTGTAGACTTTGGGGGCAGAGAAATGCATAAAACACACATGCAGACCAGGACTCCTGGAGGTTCATTCTGATAGGTGGAATACTGTGGAGATGAGCAAAATAAGCTTGTTAGGAAGGAAGGCACTGAAGAGCATAACCAAAGTGGACCCACACTGAGCTAATATGGAGGGTAGACCACTCCCAAAAGGGAACTATGAAGGGAGCAGCTGAGTCCCTCCAAAGAACAAGATAAAGAGAGTGTGGACACACCCTGGGAAGAGCTCACCATGGGCATGGGTGGCAGTTAGGTGGACATTCATCAGTAACAAAGCAGATACACACCTCTAGAAGCAGCTCCTTCTCCAGAAAATGGTCCTTAGCCAGTCCTTGTCATTCAGAGGCAAGGACAAAGTCCTGATATAGTGAGAAGACACCAGAGTGTCTTTACCCATGGAGCTTTGCCAGTCGGTTTTACAAATACATTCTCTCATCTCTTCAGGCAGCAAAAATGATAGGGACTGGCCTGCCAGAAATCCAGAAGGTTTTGACCTTGTGATCAAGCAGGGCTGTTGTCTAGCACACCCAGACTTACCTCCTCCTCATGGAGACAATTACAGGATTATATAATTGGCACAGTCTTGATGGCACTTTCCTAAGAAATTCTAACCCTGATTTCCAACTTTTTAGCAAACTACCTAGCCCTAAGCTACCAAGGTGCTCAGTGGAATAATGTTCAGTGCTAAGAAAGCATCAAAACTACAAGCTAACAGACCCTGACCTCTACTCCACGCACAAAGTTTAGTAATCTGAAGTGAAGTCTCAAAAGAGAAGGAGAAATTAACAGAACCAAATGTCAGATTGTTTTCATTACAATACTATTCTGTACTATACATATCAGAATACTTTTTATACCTCAAAAGACCACTGGGTGCTTAGTGGTCAGAGCATATAGCCAAGGATTACTGGCTCATGGACTCATGAGTTCCTTCATTAACACGAATAATGTGCCAAAGAACCCCAAACCAGGCTTAGAATCTGCTCTCTGTAGCCTTAGGCACTGCAGGGCCTGTGGTGTGGCCACTGATGGATGCTGTCATTCCAGTTTAGCTATACCAGGGAGGCAATGCTGAGAACACACAGTAAAGCAAAGTGCATCACTCTACCTCCTAGTCTGCTGCCCTAGAGTTTTTTTAATGATGAAGGAGCTCAATGGATATGAATGTTATCATCAAA